CCCATCAAAATTTTCTCACCACCCTGCTATTTATATCTATTGGATTTTTTCCATTCTCCACCGTCTTCTTGGTTTAACCTGAGGGCACGGAAGTTTACTGCACTTTATGGAATAAAAGTGATGAGTTTGCCAACATTAATATTCAGCACAAAAGTATTGCACTTGGCAGCATTCATGACTGAACCAGATGCAGTACGTAAGCACAAAATTCTGGGCTGGTTCCAGTCTCCCTGGTCATGCCATTTTCCTTTTGTCGCGTCAAGAACCAATCCACCTCAAGGGCATTTTTCTTTGGAAACTAGAGTCAATTTCTTAGTTCTGCAGTTTCCTAGTTCCGGATCACTTGAAATAAAAACTTCCTCTTTTGTGTTGTTTTTTAGTTCTAAATTCTCAGACAAGTTCAGCTTGAAAGGTGAAATGTAAGCTTCTTGTACAAAATTTTGGTTTCAGAAAACTTCTTGAAAAGAATTTTTTATCAGATTTCTGATTGGCAATTTTACAGTTTTAAATGGTTGTAAAAGATTTGGACAGCAAAAAATTGACAAAAAATTACAGGGCGATAGGTCACTCACTACATGTGATTCCAAACAGTTTTTCATACTCACCAGTCGTTTAAACTTTTGCATCTACTGTCTGTTTTAGCAAAATGACTTTAAGAGATTCTGTTTGTATAAACTCACCGGAAACTAAATGCACATTTTTACTAGTTTCAGATCACGCATTACTGCACACACATACGTTGCAAACTTAACTACACGGGCATAACAGAAATGTGAAGTAATGGTTAATCAACTGTGCAGCGTGGGGTTAGTAGCTAATTGCTCGCCGTACAGCTGAAAACTCAAGTCAAAATTTACGCAAGTTCTACTTTTTAATTCATTGGAGTTGTTCTTTATAAACTTATTTTCTCCGAATCAAGAAGTTCTTCACTAGAAAATCAGCTTGCTACAATGGCGCTGGCTGAAAAATTGATATTTTACATGGCTACTTTTTTTGTCAGTATTCGGAAATGGTTAAACCGATCCAAAACTAGGAAAAGTGTTGTTGTCACTTTTGTCGGTCCCTATAGGTTCAAATTGAAAGCTCAGATATTGAAAATAATTTTGTAGTATTTCCAACACACAAGGTGGACTACTGACCATATGGAATTGTAGGATTTTGAACCGGTTGGACCAAGCAAACAGCCACACAAGCTTTGGCTAGTTTGGCAGTTTCTGGATTTGCCTTTGAGCATGAGTCAAATGCCGACAATAAGCATTTAATTAAGAGTGTTTCCATCACCACTTGCATGTATGAAGTCATTGGCCCAGTATGGAATGTAAGGGTGTGACTTCTGGATGACTGACATGCATAATGTTGTCTGAATATATATAAGCATAATTGAATGCAGTGAGATTTTCCCAGTCACAAACACTGTAATGTAGTATGTAACATATTCACAGTTGATTGCTAGTGAATTCTTACTGCATGCTTTTCATAATATGTAATTGCATAATACATCATGTAATGTGTGGAGACTATTGTACATACATGTATACACAACAGTCAGATGAACATACCATACACGTACTTATGGGTAATTCCAGATGTTAGGGGTTAGGGAAAAGTGTGACATTTTTGTGCCCGTTATATCTGACCTTTGTGATTTAACACGGAAATATCGCTGGAATTGATTTCAAATTATTACTATTTGTTTGACAGTTAATTTGCATTAATTCATCACTCTTGGAAATTCGTAAAATGTGTTCTGAACTAAGAAAATTATATGTCAGATGTGACAGGGACACAAAAAAAAGATGGACCCATAATTTCTGGAATTACCCATTGTACCCGTACATGTGTAAACACAAACTGGTACATGTATGGTATGCACTCCTACATGGTAACTGATACTTCAGTGCACTTTTGTTTCTGTTAGTCTTTCCTTGCATACATTCCATGCACTATCAATACCATGCTGTAAGCCCCAAACATCCAAAGCTTGGTTTGGATCGGTTTGGAAGTATCACAGTTTTTGGTTGTGTTCAATTGGCAGGTCAGCTGCAGCACTGTCACTGATAGATACTGACAAGATCATTAGCTTTGTCAGTTTGCAGACGCTTCATTTTGAGCAGGGAAGAGAGTTCAAAAATATGATTCAAAGGTTCAGGCAATGATTGACAAATGCTGTAATTACCATGAACAAAATGGGCTGTGCACCACAACATCTTGCGCCCTGCATGTGTGCTTTTGTCGGGGGCAAACACCGAGTATACAGTGCTGTACGTCAGGCAAGGCCAAAAAAATCCATCCTTGGAAATAGTTGTTCGTAGTACCCCCTTCTCCATCTGACTCGTACCAGCCAGGCGACACAGGCAAGCTCGGTGGTCGAGTGGTTAAAACGTCTGCACTAGTAAGCAGGAGATCATGGGTTCAAGTCCCATCCAAGTACGCTTGCGATTTTTTCACAAGCCTTCGGGGGAAAACACTGAGTATACAGTGCTATACGTCGGGCAGGGCAAAAATCCCAAATTTATCAACATCTGACCAGCGCAAAGCCATTCTTGGAAATAGTTGTACTATACTGAACATTTAGGTACACTGAATATGTAACTTGGCTCTTGCATTTTCTTTATACATTTACAGAACATTACAAAGCTGGTTTAAAGAATAGGAAAATATTTAGAATTGATGACAATGACCCGAAGTTGAGGAAAACCATGGACATGGTTTTAATGGATAAATAAACAATGCTAATAGCGTGACAAGTCGGGACTATTAATTGAATTTCGCCACAACTACTGAAATTCGCTAGTCACCCACACCTAGTGTGCAGGGCTCGAATTTCACCTTTTTGGGAGGCACTGCAATTCTGGCCTCAAAAAATGGGACATGTTAAGGGCACCGCAGCCAAGGACAGGGGCAACAAGGCCAAAATTTCTACAAAAGAAAGGCACTGAGGCCAAGGTGTAAAATACTCTGCAAAACAAGTTTAAAAACTGGAAAAAAGAAACAACGTATTTCATTTAATATTTTATAACCCATGATAAAAATCGTATCACAGGACGGAACAGGAAAATTTTCTAAAGAAGGATTTCTTAATTTAAAGAAAATTAATTCCCACAAAAGAATTCCAGTGAATTAAACCACAGATTAAACAAAGACAACATGTTTTGCGTCAATTTGGACGCATCCTTTTCAAATTCACAGTGCGAGCTTACCAACCACATCCCCCTGCGCCGTCAAGTTGACAAACCCATTACACCACAGAATAATCAGTCACGTATGTGAAGTTGAGTCTGCTTCATGTGTGCATACGCAATCCGAAATTAGGGGGCCAAAAGAACTAGCCGTAGCTGTGGAGGCCTGTTTTGGGCATAGCCTTATCTCATGTACGCATGTGCCGGTCGGGTTGCTGCACATTATGCCGGGCTACGCTGGCTGGCCCCACGTACCCGTACGTGCCTTTAGCGAATAATCATCCACTGAACATTGTGCTGCAGAATGCAATACATGTATATTTATGCATTGAAAATCAAAGCCCATCACAGCGCAAGTATGCCCCATCGTGAGCTGTGGCGTGCCGTGTCTGCCAGCTCGGCTGGCCTGGCCATGCACCCATGTGGCGTGAAGACAATCACGTATCGGTAGACGGCAACATGAAATACATGATGTGAATGTGAAGTTGGAAACTTACGGAGAATCTACGGTATTTTTTCAAAGGGCACTACTGCCAAGAAGAATGGGGCATGTGTCCAGCTTTGGCCATGGACAAAGTGGAAATTTTAGGGCACCACGGCCAGTTGTAAGGGCACCGACTGCCATGGCCACAGTGGCCGTGGTGAAATTTGAGTGCTGAGTATGTGTACAATGTACACAAACTGTGTAATGTCCCCTTCCTAAAATCCAAACGCCTGAATTTCTGGTGAGATTTTACGGTCTTTATATTCCTGATGCAAGGCCTCAAATTTCCCAACAGCCACGATGGCCATGGCTGTCATGCCCTCCCATTTGGCCGTGGTGCCTCCGAAAAGTGATTGTATTTCACTGCCAAGATGGCAGTGCCCTTTTTTTCTCTTGGCCCTAGTGCCCTATATGTGTCTGTCATATGCTCCCGTTAAGCAAGGTACACGGAAAGTGGCATAGAAAGAGGCATACACATCGTTCCATGATCATTCATATTCGACTGGAACACTGTGCCGCACCACCCAAATGCATGGCATGCATGTATATGTGTGCACTGTGTGTATGTGGGATATCGTACACTCAGCCCTCCGTGCAACAGCGGCCTGGCCCAGCCTGGCCCGCACCATCCACACTGCACGATCGCAAGCGCGGCAGAGTTAGTGTTGCCAGGCAACACCCACTGGTTTATCCAACAACTTAACATAACAGCGCATACCCAAGCCAAGCATTTTAATGTACCATACAATAACATTGGTTCAAAACTAAGTGCTCATCAACGTGTACGCGTTCACGGTATATCGAGAGCTCCACATTTTTCATACACATGGGACAGTTGTATGGTCATGGCAGTATTTTAACTAACACCGCAATGTAGTGTTTGCAGTTTAGAGCCATTCACCGCGCGAGATCCGAACTGTATATCTTCAACATTGATCGGGACTACCCTGATTCTAACTTACATTGTTGTGTGCAAAATTACCGAGTTGACTGGCCTGGCCAGTTTTTGTGGTAGGCAAAATGTCGAGGAAAGAACGGCTGCAGTCAAAACAGACCAAAGCCTTTCAACACTCGGCTGCTGGACGTGTTCAGGTATATTGCGTATCCTACTTTTTCTTAGGCCTCAATGAATATTGATTTTCATGCAAAAATTTTGGGATGGCATTAATGCCCAGAACTTTGGTACGCTGATGGCATTAATGCCCTCAGGTTTAGCATTAGTGCCCTCTATTTCAGCCAGTCCACCAATGCCACATGGCAGTGCCCTAAAATGAGACGAGACCTGTGATCCCCTGTAACACAAGTATCAATCTTAGATCCTTTATCAGCTGACTTACCGCTACATTTGCATTAGGTGTAAGGTTTGAATCTCTGGACATAGATTGGTACGGCATTGAGTAGGGGTCCTTGGATTTGCCTGTATGGAAAGAAAATCAAAGAACACCAAAATTATTATCCATAAAATCAGCAAAGAGGAATGTACAAGCCGTCTGCAAGTTGTTGGCGTATGTAACTAGAGGAGATCCAGGTAACGGAAATATAAAACCTTCATGACATTTTGACCACACCAAACTTGTAAATGTGGTGTGCACACGAGCCTTTCAAACTTGTATAAAAACCGTACAATTACACCGTGACATTATGGGTTTGCGATCAAACCTATGATTCTTCGCCTGATGTCTGTTTTCCTGCTTCTCCTTTCTTGTTCCCTGCTTAAATCTAATGCCATTATTTCCCAAACACAGGTACAAAATAAAAGCACACTTGAAGGGCTGATGTGGAATTGACAGATTTGTAAGACCAAGTTTCCTTTCACCTTGATAAATCTTAAACATGCAAAACCCAACAGATTGAGCCATATTTTGGATCTTACATAGGGAGATTCTCTACTATTGATTTAAATACAAGTTAATATATTTATTAGATGGAAGCCGGGATTACAAAATAGGCACAGTAAGCACTGTGACTAGGACCTAGGAAAAGTTGGGGCCTGAGAAAAATTTGAGGAAAAATTTTGGGAAAGCTTCAGACTAGTTTGTACAGCATAGTATCAACCTGAATTTCAAAACTCCAGTGTTTACCTGCACTGTTAAAATGGTGCTGGTGTCTTCCACAGAGTACACGGCCAATGTGCTTCATGTTTATGATACAGTTAATCTGGCCCTGGTTAGATTACATTTATAACCCATACCTGTTGTAACAGTTCATTAAGGCAGAAAAATATATCTCAAGCACACCTTACCATCGCATTGGATACACCACAGTCATTCCACCAAGTTGCAAAATGCCGGTTTGGGGCATCGCTCTCCAAAACCAACAGCAACATGAACAACATGAATTTTCAAGCAGTACTGTACATGACAGGTGATGTCAGACAACATGCATTTTCTGTAGAAATTCTCCATTATCAAACTTCAGTCAACTTTTTGCAATTAACATGTTGTACCTCATTATATATTTTGGATGAAGCTAAACTTACAGATTATTTTTGCTGGTTGAAAGGTATGAGACCTGGCAGACATGCTGGTGTAGTGGGATTGATTTAAAACAGTAAGGGAATGAAGAGAACCACATCTTCCCAATTATTTTCAGTCAAGTTTGTGCTATTTTCTTAATAACTCATTTCTTAATTAAGGTCTTTCTGGGGGGCTTTAAATTATATCTGTTGAAGAACATGCTGAATTTTCTTTGCGGTTAAGCAAAGTTTAGAATCAAGTCATCTGGTAAAAATATTTTTATTCAAAACTTCAAATAGATTCAAACCCCTTTGATTTGCACTGGTAGCTAACCAAAGTGTCCACAAAATGTGCAGTCTGTTTAATTATACTCAAGTGATAAACAATGATAAATAAATAATACATAAATCTGAAGGTGCAAATTTGCATTTTAAATGCCCAAAACAGCTCTTTTAGAAGTTCTAAAAAAATGACATTTTGGTTCATTTTTGGAAGAATGTGCCATATACAATAAACATTGTCCCCCACCCTCCCCCCAAAAAATAGTACGCAGAAATTTAGGGAAAATGTTGCGGAGTAACGATGACCTCCAAAAAATTTACAAAATAACTTTATTGTTCAATTGAATGTGGTGGTGCAGGAGTACAACGAACAGTCTACTCCATAATGTAAGCTACTGCATTCATATTTAATAGGCAAAGGAAGGAACCATTGCCATCGATTGATACAAGAAATGTAAGCAATACAGGAAGTAAACCAAGCACACTGTAGCAGCCAAGCAGGAAGCTGTTGCCAGGCTATGGCAGTCAATGGACAGTTTCCTCTGCAATATTTACATATTAATGGCAAATTGACTTGAACAAGAAAAATACATGCAAAACCAAGGCTATTAGCTTGTATTTGGAATAGCATTAATAAACTGCAGTGCTTCAAGTACAGTTTTCCTGCTATTAAAGCATGTCTTACCCTAAGAGTCCTCAATTTTTCACCTGTAACAGGACTGAGCACTGTCGGGGTGAGCTGTGCTTTAATGTTGGGAAAATAATTATCAACCACACCAAGCAGTAAAAAGGGAAAAAAATCTAAATGGTTTCATTCTGTTAAATGTATACATGTACATCTTAACCTCATTTTGAATAATAATCATACACACAACCTGTTATGTGTAAATAAGTAGCAACATAAATGACTGAATTTTCCTTTTTCTGTACTTAAAAAAAATTAATAGATTTTTCTCTCACCATATAAATACCACATGGTAAAACTACATGTACACATATATACATACATAACATGTATGTACAACACATAAGTTTGACAAATGTATAATTCACATTATATTCATGTCTGCACTGACACAAACACAAGGAGTCTCTCCAAAAACTTTTTAAAAAACCTCATGTGTCTTATGTCAGCTAACTTAAAGGCATAGGATGAAAACCATCTCAACCTTCTGAACATGCACCCTTCCGTTAGCGTTTTAAACAAATGAATACCTAACAAAAACCAAGAAAACCTGTTTTTTTCCAGTTGTTTCGCACAAGTAAATTTCAGTAGTTTCCTTATGTTTTGGCACCAGGTCAAAGTGAAGATCAGATCAAACTGACTCCAAGAACGAGAAGATCCATTTTTTTTTTTGCTACTGTATTAGAATGGTTCCCTGTGCAGTCCATTTCACCAGCAGGATCCAGTGTAACTGTACTGCATGTTGCATGCGATTTTTAAGTGATGACTCAACAAAAACTTGATTTCATGACTCTACCAGTACTTCCAGTAAGGACTACCTTAAAGGTGAAACATGAAAGGAGATGGACCCACATTGAACAAAGTGCAGGAATTCCACTTTTTCTTTAACTTTTTTTTTGCAAGCAAGTGCTGGCCCCTTTTGGGGGGTAGGCCACCACACATTTGAACAAGCCAGAGTGTGTGCTGTGACTGAAATTGCTTTCTACTAAATGATCGCTATATCAAACATTTTGTGTGACCCCATTATATTTGTTATAGCAGCGTTCAATCATTTCTTGGAAATAGTGCCGTCTTTTGCATGGACTTTAATTTTTTCCTTTTTATGGAAATTGGAATGTTCCAATTTTAGGCCTATCAAAACTTGAAAATAAGAACAGTTCTGATTAAATTGGAACAGTTTACAGGTATGCATACAAGCATGTGCTATAATACATGTAAAGCAAAACTGAGCACAAAGTCTGAGGGATTCGCACGAAATTGTAAAAAAATACGAATGATGTCATCAGTTTCAAATTTCACACATGCGTTGTCTGCATGAAAGTCATCATACAAGTATCTGCCAATTTTTAGGTGATAAAAAAAAAAGAATGGTTGAAATTATTCATTACAAAAGTTCAAAAGGAATAGAAATCCTCAACACGGCAAGAAGTATTGTTCATCTGTTAAATCTTGCAAAATCATGGCTGATAATACCCTGGAAGTGAGAAGCTATTACAGTGATTATAATGTGCAATTGTGTGCATTATTGCAATTGATTTTGTATATGGTTTGTTCATCAACTATACGCCAGACAACACAACCAAATATTCGGATATTCAATTGAACTGAAGGTCGAATATTCAAATAGTGTATTATTCGAATTGACACAGCCCTTAATCACACCACGAGACTCTGGTACCAATGACCACATTCCAATACAATCAAATTTGTGCCATCGTGATTCTTCTGACACACAATGGAATAATATTATGGGTAGCACTTAACTAAATTAGAACTAAGTTAATGTAGTGGGTATATCTTCTGATAGAAATGACCATGAAATTACTTCCTCACTGACAAATTTGACAGTGAGCAAATTAGGTTACTAAGTGGTTGCTTGTGCATAGCAAGGTTCTTTATATAATGGCTATAGTTTTAGAGAAACAAATTCAATCGAGGTTCCCATGTGGGCAGGAGAAAAAGTAGATAGATATTAAATTACTGCATTTCAACTAGATGTACTCTTACACACTTCCGAAAAAAATACAGATCTTCATGTACTCCAATGGAAGCCATGATAACAAACACCAAATTCTTAAACATTTGGCTACAGGAATATTGAAAAACTCCCTTTGGCTTTTGAATTATATGTAGTAAAGAGAAAAACTTTTAAATTTACACTCAGATGTTTTTTAAAGTTTAAAAACTAAATATTACACAATAATTAGGACTGATGATAATCACTTAAAGAGTGAAGAAAAATTTAAGTCCTCCTCGGAAAAGGTCAATGGAAAATCTTGTCTATGTAGGTAATAGGCATAATATCTCAGCATGCATGTAATAAACTAGCCATTGCTGTATGCACCTGGCAAATATCTCATGGAAAGCCACATTTTGCTCATCTCGACACAAAATAAACACATGACATGGAAACAGCATACACAAAAAGTGATATTTGAACATGTTGCAATGTTTCAATGACATTTGAATGACATTTCACATTGTTGAATAAGCCTTTTGCGAGTTACGTTTGAATAAAATCTGGTTACACCAAGTTCTTTAATACACATGAACATAACAATTTGAATTCTCCATGCTAAAGAGAAAGTTGCTTTTACTTTGCCACACATTTTGTCAAATTGACTTTCCCAAGCAGAAATTTACTTGTACGTGAAAACAAAAGAATTCATGGGCCAAAAAAATTAAGCTAGACTACCTCCTGTTCTTCCTTAACAGTCCCAAATCCTACGATTTTACATACACCCTAGGGGATTAGGGTTAAATGACATCATGCTTCGGCTTTTGGTTATGGAAATGTTTATTAGCATAAAATCTGAAATGTTAAAATTTTTCCCTGTTACTACTATAAAGGATGTGGAAAGTCATTGTAACATTTAAACAAAGCATTGCTTCATGTATTCATGCTATACAGTCATTTGCAAAAGTTAGGACCACCCATAGAAAATGCATTAATCTGAAGGAAAACCAAACTGATACCAATCAATCATGGCAACTT